TGAGTATCACTCATCTCGTGTTTCGGACCATCAAAACGCTAGAACGACAGGCGTGTGCAGGCTTGCCCTCTTATTTCTGTATTGAACACCAAAAGAACAGATGAGCAATGCATCACACATGGAAGGAAGGACAGAGAGGCTAGGGAACACTGCTACCGCTGCTACTGGTTGTAGCAGTGGTTGGGAAGCATAACGTTTAGACGCAACTTGGAAATCGGTCATTTACAGAGAATGTAGACACAGCCGCCGTGTAGTGCGGAGAAGCAACAACGGGGAACAACAAGAACAAGACGCGCGATCAAAACACAAAATATCTTTTGGCTCGAAGGGCAGGTGGAATCACATGCACACACGGATGTGCACGCACGCGCCCACCCATGTACACAAAAAGACGCGCGCTTTTTGGTGCACATGACTATGACCTGTGATTGATCAAAAACCAAGAAGGGTGAAGAACTGTGTTTGGATGTCCGTGCATACAGTGTGGAACCATACAAAGCACAAGGATGCCTATCTTTCAGTGGATTAGGAAAAAAGAAGATTAGACTGGAAAACGATATGGACACAAATTTGAATAGATGGGTGAATGAATGAAGAGAGCAAGCAGAAAAATGTGAACGGTGCAAGCGAGCGCAATCATGCAGACTAGCATGCAACAGATCCTGTACAAAAAACTCACACCATAAGTCATACAATTTGAGTGGTAGTGGATGAAGAAAATTGCTCACTTGTGTGCGGGGAGAGTTGTCGTGTGTATGCCAAATATGGCGGGGTGTTGAATGAACGAAACCAAAACGGGGATTCGATAAAGATAAGGAATGGTACTCGAATGCAAATGTGTTTGGGTACGCGAACGTTTATGTGCGCGCGCGAGCATCAATCAACGGATACAACTGGTAGTAGTAGTAGTAGACGATGGATGAAGAATTTGTACCATTGTTAAACTCCACGGGTCCTCCCAAGCGCATCAAACGGGGCAATGTGAAGGCATCCGTAGGTGATTAAAGTGAAAATGAAGAAAAAAGAAAGAGTTTGACGCATTAGTCGTTGAGGAGGACGAGAGTAGGGGCAAGGCAACGTCACACAGATCACATATCACAGCGGAAATCAGGCTGAGGTTTAACTCGCGAATCGCTGCCCGGGCCCCATAGTGGATGCACATTTCTGTTTCTTCTTTACCAAATGTGCTGATGGGGGTGGGGTGGGGTGACACGGGTAAACCGATCGTCAATCCGCATTACATCACAGACTGTCTGTATGCATGGTGGCAGTGTTCTGGGTAGGTGATGGAAACACGTGGGGGAAGGGAGCAAATTTACGCATCGTTATCAATGATAAACAAGACCTCCGGTTTGCGCAAATTTAGTGTATTAAAGGAAGGCGGATCAGTTCCGTCCGGACGAGGAGTCCAGTCCAAGATCGGATCAAGGGTTTTGGGTTTCTTTGTCGACTTGGATGAGTCCGCTGTGTTCTGATCAACCGCATCATCAACCACATAGTCCTCCAAATCGGACTCGTCATTCGGTTGACAAGGGACTAAACGCTTGGGAAAATTGGCCTGTACCTCAAAGTGTTCGGGTGCGGAGTCTTGTGTTAGGACGAAATAGTAGAGAATCTGGAAAGAAAAAAGGCAACACGATGACAATTTATGTGCGAACAGGATGAAGTAAAAATAAACAGAAAGGGTGATTAATTACACTACTGCGCGGCGCATTTGCATTCAAGTTCCACAAACAAGTTGGTCGTTTTCGTTGAATCTGCGTCTCACGAGGTCTAGCCCTTTGCTGTCGACACAAATCACCTGTCTTGAACAGTCCAGTACATTGAGAAATAAACTGCACGAGCGCACATGTGAACAGGACCATTACTAGAGTCGACTGTGCTTCGGCGAGAAAGCAACTATGAACAATGGTAGAGGTATACAATTTCGATGATGCTGTTCAGTCCATTCGTGAAAACCCAAAATGCCACAGTTGTTATTGTTAAGCAAAATACAACAATGTGAATCCATTTGATTCACACCAAACCGGTATTGCATTCGAAATCAATCCAACACAGAAGATGATCTGGATGTGAAAAAACGAACTATGTGCATGGTTGTAGTCGATGCACGCGCACAATGTTCGATCATCGAATGTTTTATCTGAACCAAAAACCACCATCAATTCAACCTGCAACAATCTGTGGGGAGCGGACGATATGCATTTTCACTTTAACCATATACACTGCAACTGCTCTGGCTATCTATAATTCAATCTCAGCGTGAATTGTGTGCGCATCCCACTGGACTTGTGGTTCCTGTGTAACGCGCCAGTAATATTTTATCGTGAGGGCTTGTATCTCACTGATCCTTTCTGGTTCATGGCGTTTTGTTTGCTTTGCCATGCAGGTTTAACTTTAACCCCGACCCACGGACGACCTGTCCGCCAGTGTTTCNCCGCCAGTGTTTCGTCGCCACCCCGTGCCCCACCTCTCTACCTCCGTTTATCACCCGCAAAGCCTTGCATCGTCTCTAGCTATGAGAATATGAGCCGAGGGAGATCCTGTCACGCATCTCTGACCACTCTGTTGCGCTGTGAGAGCACGGAGTACGTTCGCATTACACATGCAGTTTCTATTTTCTCACTCTTTCTCTCTTTTTCTTGTATGTCAGTTACCGTCGACACGAAGAACCTCCTGCACATAGACGGTTTCAACTCACACAAGACTCGTCCCACATTCGATGGGGACATCTTGCTACACAGTGGAGCCGAAGCACATTACAACACAACCGAAAACTGTCGGGATGAGTTCTATGGATAAGGATTACATCGTCAATTAAAATTGCGGGCACGTGACACACCAAATTACACATTCCACATCACCCGAACTAGATACTCCTACACACACACACACACACACACACACACACACATGCAGTTACGTGCACGCACAGAACACAGACCAAATAAAATCTGAGCAACGATGAGAGTATCAACAGTGATCCAGACGTGTATAACGGGGGAATAGAATTCGGGTAATAAAACTGACGCCTGATCGGATTTGCACAAAGTAGTTCTCGATAATCTTTACACGGATGGATTAATTACACATCACAAAACCAAGCGTCGTCATCTCACAACGCATGAGTAACTGAGATCCGATCAATGTATAATGAAACTTAGATTTTAGGTAGCGAACCGAAGAGGTCGACAATCATACGGACCCTACCGTGATCGAGATGGTCAAATATTATCAATGAAAACCGTGATGTACAACAGGACAATCGATCGATCACTTGGCGAAGATCTCACGCACCTGATAACAATCATCTCTTAAGGAGTGAAATACATCAAGGGTGTCTGGTGCCTCTGCACAATCAAATGGGCTAATCCAAATTTCTCCGAAAAGGTGCTTCATTTCCTTTCTTTAAAAAGTTGCATATGCACGACAAAACCTGCATTTATTCCCTTAGGAGACAATGGTCCCAAACATAGCCAGATCAATTATAATTCGGAGTGGCGCAAAGTACACGGTGATAGAAGGAACAATTCGTCAAGAATGTGCAAGGAATGTGCAAGTTCACAGTTCGACTGATAAACGCCCAAACGGTGGGGTCGTTGAGCCAGTGCTAATTCGTTCTCGAGGTGGAATGAGAGAATTGGGGATTGGGAGAAATTTTCCACACAGGGTTTCGACACAGTTTCATTTTTGCAGGAATGATTACCGGTACATTTTCATATGGACCGAGATAACGGCTTTGGGAAAGGTTCCCAAAGAAAAACCCGTTCGTCGGTGTGGGTCAACGTGAAGTATGTCCTGCCCTAAAGTTATAGGCACGTATTTGGAGAAACATCTTTCCCGCTTGTGAAGTCCTACCTTTCAATCCCCAACAATATGTCAATGCGAAACCGACTACTGGATTTCGTTCAGACAAGTGATTCGTAAAGTGCAAGACTCTCAGCAGTAAGGTCCGAATCCGACCGAATTACCTGGTTATGGAGTGTTAATGACTAGTAAAGAGAAATAGAGCATTGTTGGGCTCCATGTATGATGCGAAAACCCTAACCAGGAGACTGGATCATGTAGGTCGCGTTTAGCCCCGGGATGGGGACCCCGAGATCATGGTAATAGGCGGTGTGTGATATGGCTGCGTCGCAAACAGTGGAGCTCGTGCGTCTACTCCTACTTCTTGTAACCCTAGTATATTTTAATTTTCCATCCTCTCAGTGACTCCGTTTTGAACGTTCCTCCTGCTCTTTTATAAAAATGAGCAGCCGAAACCGCCGCAACAGGGTGCATGGATCATGGTTGCAAAAACTGAACTGAGGGCTCCAGGTAATGGATTGCATCGTGTATCAACAAGCTATTCTAGCAACAGGTCGTCATCTGTATGAGACCAAAATTAACAGGTCAAACCACTAGGTTATCCGCAGCACTTACAGGTTGTGTAAGCAGAATAGATTCGAGAAGAAAATGAAGAGAACTATTTAATCAACCATCGGAAAACTGCAAACTGGACGTATAAGCGCGGCACTTATGATTTCATTTAATGTGTGAAAACCAGTGCACTCGCTAGAGCACCTGGGTAAGCATCACGTCGTCCTGTGCAAGCTGTTCACGCTCAGTTAAATGGCGACGCTGAGTTTGGAACACAGGAAATTTCTCGGCAAATCATAAATAACTAACCTTCACCGAATCATGCAACGAGAACACACGGGATGCACGTGAGCCATTGGGCATTTTGATAGACAGCTGAACTGTATCTGGTCCGTTCGCCTCGGGCGGAGGTGGGAGGCAGTGACGCCACCGGACGCGACGTGCCTCGCGCGCTCGGACCAATGCTTGTTCTCGCGCGCGTTGACGTGCCGCTTCGGCAGCCACAAGTTCGGCTTGTCGGAGCTCGGCTTCACGGGCAGCCAACTTGGCCCGATCGAGGGCGAGCGATTCAGCATACGCTAAATCCTGCTCCTGACGAATACGTGCCGTGGCTTCACGTTCTTGTCTGATCGTGGGCGAAAAAAGGAATGCGGAGTGAAGAAAAAAATCCAACATGAAAATCAAAATCTCCTGATGACGTGTATGTATGATGTATGGTTTGTTGAAAGCTGTGTCAAAAAGTGAAAATATAGAGTTCATGAAGAGACTAAGTTCGCAAGGCTATTGAGTAGATGCAAGACCGCCACTATTCACGACACTCAACCATATTACTCACTAACTATTTACCCAGGAAGATCAATGCGACCCGTGTGAACAAGTCCGGCTGGCACGCGTCGAACACCCAATAGGTAGTAACAATCAACGTAATCTGCCCCTTGCTCTCGTGGGCGACCGCGACTATGTATCTAAAGCTCTGCATCTAACCTAAGCATTGCTCGTGCAGTTGCACCACCAGGCTTGTGTAATTGGGTCTTGACAACGGGTAATCGAACACCGACAGTTGATCTTCGTCCTATTTTCGTAATGGTAAGGTCTCCGTACCGCAAAGTAGAACTGGCTCACTGCCGCTGATTATACTCATTATTTCACAGACATACGGATATCGCGACGGTAAATAAGGTCTCGAGCTGAAAAATGACAACCAAGCTTTCTCTATGCGTGGCGACACCTCATCCATGGTGCGTACACGGGTGAAATCTTGCTGCACACATGATAATATTTTTCATTTCCTACTTACTACTTACCCAGTTAGAGTGAGGTTTGGAGCCGAAAAACAGTCACTTTAGACGATGAGGGTGCAAAATGCACGCCGAACACGACTACACTAACAGTCAAAACGAACCGAACAGAGTAGTTTACAGAATCAAATCTAGAACAAAGGTAAATAAAAAGGGAGATATGGTAATCGTGACCAAAACTAATTTCCGTGATGAACTCGGGTGAAAAAG